CCAAGAATGAGCAGTTAGAATTTGGTCTATATGATGTTCGATCTCTAATTCGAGGAGTAACATGCCTGTATATTTTCTGTGTGCTTCTAAAACTCAAGTTGTTATTATTATTGCTTAACAGGTGAAGATTTTTTTGTAGATTTTTTTTTTTTTTTAATAGTCAGAATAAACCAGTTCAGTTTGTAAAAAAAAAGAGTACTTTAATTTATAGTGTTAGATTTATGTGTAAATGCATGAATCTTAGCAGTATACTAGTTTAAAAAAAGGGTACATAAATCACAATCCCTAGTACAGGATATATAAGTAAGAACCTTTTTAATACTCTGATTAATGTGGATTAAATTCTTTCTGATGATTCAGTGAATGAGTCAAATAAAACATGTACAGATAATCCCCTACTTAAGAACATTCTACTTATGAGCATTCCATACATACAAACAAAATTTTTTAAGTACTAAAGTCCAAAAAATTATTTGAAAGATGCTGGCAAACTTCAAATTTCCTGGGCACAAATATAGTTCAAGAGTCTGGTACTGTATAAGGTATGTCGTACTTATTGGGATTTATTTACAGGTATTCTTAATGTAAACAAAACTTAAAAAATGGGAAAAAAGGTAATGGAGACCCGACTTTCGACATACAAACAAATCAACCTACAAACAGCCTCTCAGTCCGCATTATGTTCTTAAGCTGGGGACTTTGTATATTTTCAGTAATAATCAAGAGATGAGATTTTAACTCTGAATCATTAAAATCAAGCATCCCCCAATCTTGCAGTTTGAGGACTGCTTTTATGCACTAATAAGAAATTTGTTTTTCTTCTTGAACTGTGCAGTATGGCGATGTACAAGAGTTACGAGCAAGGAAAAAGATTTCACGCCATTGATCTTGACCCATATGGCTCGCCACATGCATTTTTAGACAGCGCTGTAAAGAGTGTGGCGGATGGAGGTATTCTCCTGGTTACCTGTACAGACATGGCTGTGCTGTGTGGTAATTCGCCAGAAACATGCTACACCAAATATGGAGCTCTGTCCATCAAAAGCAAAGCCTGTCATGAGATAGTGAGTTGAAGATTGTATACTGTATTGAATTTATATACTGATATGCTTCATTTCCAAATTTACTATTTTCTCTGTAGATAGCTGATTTTACTTAATGTTATTCAGTGAATAGATGACTATAAAATCTTACAAGGTTAAGAAGTGCTAATTGTTTCATAGATTTACTTGGAAAGTTTATGTAAACGATCAGAAACCAAAGGGAAGTTTAAATACCTTATTATATTTTGCAGGCCTTAAGAATTGTGCTGCAGTGCATTGAGTCCCATGCCAACCGTTATGGCAGACATATTATGCCATTGTTATCTATGAGTGCTGACTTCTATGTAAGAGTTGTTGTTCAAGTATTTACAAGCCAATATAAGTGCAAGGAAAGTTTTTCAAAGGTAAGTACATAATTGTAGTCACCATCTTTATTATTGTTGTTCTGATTATCATCACTGCAGTGTATGATCTGGCTGTATTTAATATCATGTGGTTGCATTCTTTTGTTTTATTATTATTATTAGTAGTAGTAGTAGTAGTAGTAGTAGTATTTGAAGTTGTAGTTGTAGTTGTAGTTGTAGTAGCAGAATCATTGTCATTATAATTATCATTGTTGATGTTGTCATCATTAATTTTTGTTGAACTATTCATTTATGTGTATATCAGTATTCATTAGTATTATAATGTAATCATTGTTAGTATTTGCCTTTCTGTATTATCTGTAGAGGATAGAATTCCTCAGTCTGCTGATTATTGTAACTTTGTCCAGTTGGCCTTGCAGCACATGAAAGCAAGGTAGGTGCTGAGGCAGAAATGATAGTCTATTATTATAGGAGTCATATTTTGATTGTGGCAAGAGAGTTAGAGATCTTAGCTGCAGCTATGTAGATATACAAGGGTTAATATTTTGTCTGAAGGGGCATTTTACTACACACAATGGAACAAACATAATCTTGTATGTGATAAGCATTAATATAGTGAATATGTTCTTGAAATGGAATTAATTGCTTTGAAAATAAGCAAATCTGCAGCCAGGTAAGCTTATATGTATTGAAATATTCATTTGGCTATATCAGAAATAGGTAGTTAGCATTTACAAGCTGTATTCATTTTGACAATCTATTTCATCATGTGTAGGTAAAGAGTATGTATAAAGCGAAAGGGCAAAGTTAGGAAATAGGGGGATGGATAATTACCTCTTTGGCATGTATTTTTGCTTTACAATACAAAGTGTCAAACATAATACTTTTATAACATGGATTTCAGAAACTTGCCTCACAAATTTTCTTTTGTAATGCAAGATGGCAATTATATTCTAAAAAAATTGCAGTCTTATGGATGTTTATTGATGATAAATGTGCTGTCACATCATAAGGAATAATCACAGACACTGCATGATGCCTGATCATGACATAAATCTCCATATCCTGATAGCTGGGATGACGCCTTGAGCAGCCAAAAATTAACCAAATTGTCACACAGGCATAGATGGGCCCACACTGAAGATAGGCAGTAGATAGGCATTGAAATATTCACTCTTAAACTTGGAAATTAGTTATTAACACTTTCACATCAGAATATTAATGAATGATTATGGATTAAAAATAGATGTGATATAATAAACATTTTACTATTTTCAGGTTTCTTGGCTTTACCAGTGTGTAGGATGTGAGACAACCACACTGCAACCTTTGGGACGAGTTGTAGTTAATGGAAAAAGTGTGAAGTACCAGTTGTCACCTGGTCCTGCAGTCAGCCAGTCTTGTGACCATTGTGGCCACAGACACTCAGTAGCAGGCCCCATCTGGAATGCACCTATACATGACAAAGATTTCATTCACAGATTGAAAGAGTCCCTTGTTGAGGACGAATTTACAACATTCCGCCGTATATACGGTACTTTGACTATGATGGAAGAAGAATTGACAAATGTGCCTCTGTATTATGTTGTAGATAAGTTGGCTGCAGTGGCTGGTATTAATCTGTGTAAAATGGTACAGTTTAGATCAGCTATTTTGAATGCAGGATACAAGGTTTCCATGTCACATGCTTGCAAAAATTCTATCAAGACTGATGCTCCTGCACAGGTTATATGGGACATAGTTAGGGCCTGGGAGAAGTCAAACCCTGCCAACAAGGAGAAGATGGCTCCAGACAGGCCTGGGAGAAGACTTCTGGAGAAGAAATCCAAAACGGAAATCAGCTTCGAATTACACCCCGACAGCAATCCCCAGTCCAGAAAGCAGGAGCTTCTTAGATTCCAAGTGAAACCAGAGAAGAACTGGGGGCCCAAGTCTAGAGCAAAAACTAGTCTATTTCATGGGAATCAAGAAGACAAAAGGTCGCGCAACCAAGGGAAGAAAAGGAGAATTCAAACAAATGCCGAGCAGTTGCCAACAAAGCTGCCAAAAGAAGGAAGTGACTCACGTGTAGGAAAAGAAACCAGTGCCTAATGAAGAAAATTGCGACTGACACCTTATGTTCAAATCTCTTGTAATGTTTTCATTAATTGACCTTTTTTTCTGAATACATAAACCTACACTCACAATACCAGTCTCACACACACACATACACACATACACACACATACACACATACACACACATACACACACACACACACACACACACACACACACACACACACACACACACACACACACACACACACACACACACACACACACACATACATACATACATACACACACACACACACACACACACACACACACACACACACACACACACACACACACACACACACACACACACACACACACACACACACACATATATTCTCAACAATATTATTCATCAGAAAAATTGTAGTTAATAGTTAAAATTGAAAATTGTTGATTATTATTGCAGTTTTTAAAGATAATTCTCTTTCAAAGATTTTATTAATGTCATATTTTAACTCAGCTTTGATGATCATTTAAAAATATCATTTGTTCATATGTAATAAATAAATGATTATCTGCTTTTATATGTAAATAAAGAAATTGGACATATTTGTGATTATTAAACATCCTCATATCTACAGGGATCCCCATTCCTTCTAAACACACAAATCACCTCGTGACCTTGGAAAGCCCAATTAATCACGGGATGACAGGTTAAGCAAAAACATAAGAAAATAGAAAAAAAGAAGAAATTCAAGGATATATGGTATACTTTGTGGATTCACTTCTGACTCCCCCCCCACACACACACACACACTACCTATATATCTGTCTGTTTGTTAATCCATCTATCTATGTGTCATCCCCAGTCCAAAGTCAATTTCTGTGGCAGACAAAGTAATGCAAAGGACACAATAAGACGAGCACCCTTGAGTGCAGGAACATAGAGCTTTCCTGGTTCATACTTTGTCCGAAGTCAAATGGTAAAACCATTTGGTGCTGTTTCACAAACGTGGTCTAGGCAGAAGCCAGGAGGGAAGGCAATGAGCTCAGACACTACAAGTGGGTGCCATTGCTGACAGGAACACGAAGGTGGTCCTCTGCTCTAAATCTCTTCTAGGGGAAAATCTTGGGGTGAGTTCCAATAGAGGGCAGCTGCAGTTTAGGTAAATATGAACAGAGAAGAAAAGGGGGTCACACTGAATAGCAAATTTCCATGCAACTGGTTAAAGGGAAACAGGATGTCAGTAATCCCAAGTAGGAAATCAGATGCCTGGCAGCATAGCAACTACACGCTGAACAGTCAATCAATTAGTGAGGCTAATGTCAGAGGGTGACTACACATCCTCCAATTCTAACCAGGAGGGTCCCTCTTAGTGAGCTGTCTTTTAGATCTATTTCTTCAAGACAGAATTGGTTGATTTGCCCAAGCTACAGTTTTCTTGGCTGTTTGAACTGCCTCCCCCACCACAGTTTGTGTCTAAAGGAGACAACTTGGTAGGTGGGATCATTCTATGTGAACTGAGACAAGTCTTTGTATAGCTTAAGTTGGCAGTCTTGGATGCGCAATTGACAAGTCTCAAATGGTAGTCATGGTTGGACGTTTGTTCCTGCAAACAGTACTAAGAGATCCAGTACAAGAACCTGTTGCAAAAGATTTCAAGGTGAGACTCCAAGAAAGATACCAGCATCTTCAAAAAAGTGACTAAACTTTGGGGCCTGCCACCAAACAAATGCATCAAGAACTACAATACTAAATAATGTAGTTTTGTGTGATTTCGATGTCCTCGCCGCAAGCAGATTCTCAATGGTTCTTGGTCTTGGAGACTTCTACACACGAAGACTGCCTCACTGCTAAATTCACTGAATTCACGGGAAAAGAAGCTAGGCATGTCCCCTCCTCTATATTACGTTTTCAGTACCAGTATAAGAGGACCACAAGTCCGAGAGACAGCACCAGGATGCCTGGTGGCTAGCAGAATACTACATGTGAACCAAGGGTGCACCGGCAGATGTCAGTGCAGTAAGAATGTGACAAACGCCTGCTGTTTTACCACCATTTAGCTTGTAGATCGCTTCATATTAGGTTTGGATGATCTTTTTATGGATAATTTCTTAAGACTGGCCAATAGTAGTATGGCAGTTACCTTGAAGGTGAGGGTTTGAGACTATACTTCTTCTTATTTAAGCTATGATTACCTACTCCAAATGCATCGACTTATTGCTGTCCGTCGTTGACTGTACGTACATCATGCTTTCCTGATTAATCGTTGCTTCAATACACTTGGATGCCGGCAAAGCGCCTCTCACGGCCGCTGCGCCGTCAACTTGATGCGGCGCTCTCCTACCCACAGTGGCTAGCTGATAGTTAGTGTGTGTATATGAATCCTATGAAAAGATGAATTACCTTAAGGGTATAAACTTGATGTATCTGAAATGGATCTAATAGCAGTGGGTCCGTGATGGTGTTTTTCTGATTAAGTTTATGACTTGAGTATAGCCCAGAAGTAGGACATGATCAGGGTGGGGAGAGGCTATGCTCTTGGCTAATGATTGTTTGAGTTAAAAATATATAGCCGCCATGTCCTTTTGGGACAACTTGCAAACATCAGTACCTGTACATTTTTTTCTGAAGTGAGTCTAGAGACACCTGGATGGCTTTAACAGATTTGTGATACCATTATATTGCTCTGAGGGGAAAGGAGGTTGAGAGCGTTTGTACACCAGGAGGCACCCATAATGATCCTGACTTACTCATCTTCAGACTGATTCAAGCCTGTCCCTGAAATTAGCTTTAATGGAAATCAGGCATGATAAGCATAATGGGACGGACCATATGGAGATGAAATGATTTTAGAAACTGCACCCACTGGAGATCCTGTCCCTGTACATGAAGCCTTGAACCTTTGACATTCAGTATCAAAGCTATGGCCTTCCGGTTAACTGCAGAGATCTTTTAGTTCTGCTCTGCATCCTCAAATATATGAGATCCAGACAGCTGTGGTTCTGAGATGCTCCAACCTTAAGTAGTGCTCTGAATGATAACTGGAACCTGACAGATATGTTCCTGAAGTAGTCCCATTTCCAAGAACCTACCCTTACTTCCCTTTCTTATTAAGGTCTTCAAAATAGTAAGAAGGCTTGTCAGTTCGAAGTCCTTCTCCAAATCAAGAGCGACAACCATAACGGTAACAGTACCAGTGTTCAGAAAAGTGGCTAAACTGTAAACGGTGTCTTTCCCTCGTATGTACCCTCTACCTTACTTTTTAGAGGTACCTTATCTCTCTTGCTAGTTTCCAAGTGTACGCATGTGTACTGCCTACTCATGATGAGTCTATATTATGGTTAACTTATCTAATAGTTTTTTCTCTCTCTATATAGTAACGTAATGTATTCATCTCTCACAGAAGGCGTGAATCTGAATAATTTTCTGGGAAGAATTAAAGATGAAACCGTTTAATATTGGTGATAGTGAAGAGGAGTAGACACTGTTTTTTGTATTTATTTTCTGTTTTACTGACAAAGGGACGTGCATAATATGAAGAGTAAAGCCATATTTTGAATTTTGTATTTTACGAATAACGCTTTCATTGTAAAGCATTGTTATTCTCAATCTTCAGGTCTATTTAATTCAATAATGTTACTATAAATATGTGTGTGCATGCGCGCGCTCGCGCGTGTGAGTGTGTGTGTGTGTGTGTGTGTGTGTGTGTGTGTGTGTGTGTGTGTGTGTGTGTGTGTGTGTGTGTGTGTGTGTGTGTGTGTGTGGAGAGAGAGAGAGAGAGAGAGAGAGAGAGAGAGAGAGAGAGAGAGAGAGAGAGAGAGAGAGAGAGAGAGAGAGAGAGAGAGAGAGAGAGAGAGAGAAGTGAGTGAGACAGAAGCAGGCAGGCAGGCTCACAGACAGACGGAGACAGAGACTGGCAAACAGAAATATAAATAGATACAGATATAGATACAGATCAGTGTTCCCAACCTTTGCAAAGGGTCCATGAGGATAGGCAAGGTGGCAGGCGACTTTGCAAAGGTGATGATTTAACTTAACTTATACGTGATGTCGGGGATGTTTGATAGAATAAATAGAGATAATAAAATAATAATCACACACACACACACACACACACACACACACACATATATATATATATATATATATGCATATATTAAAGATGCATTCTTTTCCGAATCATATGGTAAGGGTCACAATGGGCGAGAGGTGCAGCGACAATAGTAATGATGATAATAATAATAAGAAGAATATATAAATGATATTATATACATATATATATATATATAAATATAATATATATATATATATATATATATATATATATATATATATATATATATATATATATATATATCAGAATTGATGATAACACTAGTGATGTTGGCATTAATATGCGAACTGGCAACTCGTACGGGGCAAGTGAAAGTCTAGTTCCTTATATACTAAATTCTTGAGTTTATCTTCATCTTTTATCAGTAAATCATATGAGGTGAGAGTGCTCGTCTTGAAAAGTCCAGAATTAACTGACACCGAAGCCGGTTGGGACTTCCTTCAATATTGGGTGAGGTTATTGCTGCCCTCTCATATTAAGGTTTAAAGAACTTGCGAGAAATTGTGTTTAACGTCTTAAGTAGTGCAATGAATAAAAGGGAAATTATGTTAAGATGATATAGGGAATACATAAACATTATAATGTATTTTTTTATAATTATTAATTCTTTCATTAGAAGTAATCTGCCCAGAGTCGAATTCACGGTTGTCTATATCAAGCGATGGCGAGACCCGTTTGATTTTTTTTATGCTCCAATGGTCAGCAGACTTTGACCACTTATATTCTAGTCAGATAGCAGTAAATGACATCTCTGGGACTTCATTACATCCCTGGGAATTAATTATCAAATAAGGAACTAGTTCAAGGTCTGTCATGTCAGAATAGTGGTGCTGTTGGTCTTTGCCGGAGTGCCTTTTCGGTCTCCTAGTGCAGTCCTTACGGGAATATTAAGCCAGTATAATTCAACCTTTTTGAATAATTAGCCAAAGAGGTTCTAAACAAGGTAAACTGGTTTAGCTGATGATATGCATAAGGTACTGACAAAAATGAAATTTCTTTTGTGTTGGCAGTCAGATAGGAACATTCAGGGTTTCAAGTCTTCAAGATGTGTATAAATTTATTTGATATTTTTTATATTG